TGTGGTGCTGGGGGATTGAACCGCGGTCCCTGTGCTTTGCTTAGCTTAGCTTGTTCTAAGTAGGTGCTTTAGACCACTGAGCCATCTCACCAGCCCCTCTTGTAATTTTAAAGGAATAAGATGTTTATGGTAAAAAATTTGTTATATTTGCATTACAAGACCAACTCCTGTTTAAGGGACCAGATTCTAAGGCAGGGAGTGCAGTGAACCAGCGCCTGGTGGCATTGACTCACTGACAGATCCTTTAGGAAAGGGAGTTGATAATATAATTGCGTAGGCAAAACATGGGGGTTCTTGTGGATTTGGAGCCTCACAGGGTGGTTTGTTGTTTTTTAATTACTGTGGCACCTCGGCTCACAAGCTTAATTCTTTCTGTGATTCTGGTCACAAATTGAATTGGGCAAGAACTAAGTCAAATTTAATGGTTAAGCTCAATGTTGATCTAATGAGCAAATTTGATTTGGTTCTCATCCAATTGTTTGCAGCCAGAATCACAGAAAGAATTAAGTATATAAGCTGAGGTACCACTGTATTTCAAGTCTTGTTTTCAGTTCAAAAAATGATATTCAGATGTAGCAACTAAGGACATGTAAGTCATGTCAGAGTGGGAAGGGAGGTGACTCAGGCTCCAGGTTTCCAACATGGAGCACAAGAGCACCTGTGGCCTTTGTGAAGAGATGAAAAAAAAAAAAAAAAAAAAAAAAAAACCTGGGTTAGAGGTCAATCTCATTTGGACATGAGTTTGAACCTCCTGCTTGTCATCCAGCTGGAGATGTTCAGTAGGTAGCTCAGGCAGCTGCGATGATTTGCAGCTGGGATAGACTCAAACCTCACTGTATGAGCAGTAATGGGAGTGCACAGTGTAGGAAGATGGCAGAGAAACAGAATCCAGCAGCCACATATGGTCAGGGAGAAAGAAAACCTAGAGAAAGAGGGGAGTGGATGATCTGAGACAGTGGGGGAGGGGTCATTGGAAAGATGGGTAGACTTCATGTTGCATCCCGAGAGGAACCTCAAACTGGAATGTGATAACAGCCTTGTGGGTCTTCACCTGAGAGGTATCAGAGGGAGATGGAGGGAGAGTGCCCTATGTCCCCAGCATGTAAGACAATGCCTGGTGCAAACAGGACAGATGTACTGATGGATGGATCCATGAATAAACAGACAGAGAGGCAGGTTGATAGATGGATAGACAGATGAGTGGATAGTCATATGAATGGATGGATGGATGGATGGACAAACAGATGAACACTTAAATGGACAAATGGATGCATAGATGGATAAACAGACAGGTAGCTAGATGGACGGATGATGGGTAGACAGAACAGAGGAATAGACGCACAGATATGTGGATGAATGGGCACACAGATGGACAAGTGAATTGACAGAAGGATAATGGAAGAATGGAAAGAGCAGTTGAAAAGATCAGAACAATCTCGTGAGTTCAGAAGGACTGAGTTATCTCTCTCTAGATAGGCATAAAGGCAGAAGAGTCAGGAATGACCCAGTATCCATGGCTCCATGAGAGATTCATGACTCAGAGGCTCTAAAGAGAGCCAGCTCAGGCCTCCCTGCCATATCACTGTCACCTGAGAACATGCATCACTCAGGGATTTACTGTGCCCAGCATTCCCATCAGCACTGACAGCTTCAGAAAGAGGGGAAGTGGGGAACACATGTGGGGTGACTCACTATGGACATTACCTGCCTGGGACAAGCGGAAGACCTCTGGTCCACCTGCCAACCACTTTGGAAATAACCTACCCTCTGCGACCCTATGTCTCACCCAGCAGGTTCCCTCTCCAGCCCCGCCCCCAGGATGCAGGTCCCAGGTGCTGGCCCCATGGCTTTTGGTCTGAGTCTCAATCACCATTGTTTATCTTTGGCAGTGGAACCCTGCTCACTGTCCTAGGTAAGTGGCTCTGACAACTTTTCTCAATCTGTCCCACCCTCCTGCTGCTTAGCAAAATTCATTCTTTCTGAGTGCTTCTTTCCCTCACCAGTCTTAGAGATTAACACTCTGCCTTTTTCAGTGGGCCCTTGAGGAGGTGGGTGGCCTTGAGGTAACCAACAGGAAGGGCCCCAGAAATAAAGGCAACCACCTTCAGAGTCCAACAGTAGGATGTGGCCTGCTCTGAGACCTGCAGTTAGGATTTGGCCAGGGACAGGGGCTATTTCCCCTCCTCTAAACCAGCTGCCCAAATGGGGATAAGAACCTGGTCCTGGGTAGCACTAGAAATAATTCTCCAGGTCCCACAGGGTCTGAGCTATGAGCTGGATGCCTATTCAGGCTAGGAAAACTACACAAGAGGGACAAGGCTGGGGCTGCAATATTAATCTCTAGGGACTCAGGAGATTGCCCCCATGTGGACACTAATAAAGATCAGAGAATCTGGCTCATTGTAGGCTGCAGCTCTTTAGTTCTCCAATGGTCCATGAGGACATAGGAATACAGAGGGACAGGTCAGACTAGACAAGGTAGCTAGAGGCTGATGGTCATTCAGAAAGGAGGGGATCCCAAAGAGCACAGACTCTGTCCTTGGAGCCCTCTAAGCCTGGGGCCAAAGGATTGTCCATAGTCGGGTAGGCATAGTGATGAACCCTGAAATCTCAATACTCCAGAGGGAGGCTGACAGGAGGATTATATCAGTTCAAGGCTAGCCCAGGCTACATGCTGAGACCCTGTAGAAACAAAACAAAACATGTTTATGTCCAATTGTCCACAGCCAGTCTCTTACCTTCCTCCTCAAAGAGTACAGTAGACTCAGGAAATAAGAAACAGGGGAACAAACAAGTAGTTCAAAAGGCTACATGGCTCCAGGGAAAATCAGGAGTCATCAGAGGCTGCTATACCACATAGTTTGGAAGTGGCAGCCTCACGAACACAGCCAAATTGGAGAGTCTTGTGATCGGGCCAATGGAGACAGGGAAGATGGCAGTGCCTTGGAGGAGCACCCAGAAGTGTCCCAGAGGAACCTACTACTCCTTGGGAGAGCTTAGTGGACTGGATGGAGCAGAGCCTGCTGCTCATGAAGGCACGAAGTGCTAGGCTCCCAGTATGGCAGCCACAAGTTCCAGGTCTTCCCATGTTCCCCAAGATCATCCTTCAAGACTGGATGGGGACTACCAATTCACAGAAGCAGCTCTAGGCACTGGAAAGGTGAAGCAAGTTTTAATGACCTGGACTGGGGACTCAGGAGGTCAAAGCCGGATTCCACTCTCAGACTCCAAAGACCAGGGAAGAAAGAACACAGTCTTCCTTGGTGACAATAGGAAAGCTAAGGTTGCAAGGGGAGAGGCTGGACCAGGTCACCTGGAGGAGTGACTTGGGAAGGGCTTCTAGGAAAATGCAGGGCTACCTTTTCTCTGGAGGACACAAGTGGAATAGAGGAATGAGAAGAGACAGAGGGACCCCATATAACAAAATGGATACAATATGAATGGTCAGAGACATTGGGGTGGAAAAGCCCTGGGCTCTCCTTGCTGACATTTATACCCTCCTCCACTCACGCAGGTCAACCCAAGGCTGCCCCATCAGTCACCCTATTTCCACCCTCCTCTGAAGAGCTCAAGGCCAACAAAGCCACACTGGTGTGTCTGATAAGTGACTTCTACCCAGCCACCATAATTGTGGCCTGGAAAGCAAATGGCACCCTCATTACCCAGGGTGTGGAGACTACTGTGCCCTCCAAACAGAGCAACAACAAGTACAAGGCCAGCAGCTACCTGACCCTGGGACCCAACCAGTGGAGATCTCACAAAAGATACAGCTGCCAGGTCACACATGAAGGGAGCATTGTGGAGAAGAGTGTCTCTGCTGTGGAATGTTCTTAGGTCCCCAGTGTTCGCCCCATCCTCCAGGGACTGGCGCAGGACAACCTGGGGAGGAGTTTCCCCCTCCCACTTCAGCCATTTTCCCTGCATCCAACAAGTGCTTAATAAAATATCCATCTTATGGATAAATCATATTCTATCTCATTTATTTTTTCTCATATTTCATTTGCAACCTCACATCCCTGGGTCGGCACAGTTGCAAAGCAGCCCTAGGGGAGAGGATTCTGGCCACCCAAAAATCTCCAGGCAGGAGTTTGGTCACAAGGATATGTAGTAAATCTCTCTAGCTCTCTTCTTCCTCTTCTACTCTCAGCACAAGGGCCCACTCCTTGCCTCCTTAAATGGAGCTGTATGTGGCTGGAAAACATTGAGACATGTTCCCTCCCCATGCTGTTCTGAAGGGACATTAAAGGCTTTAAAGAAATGGCTCAAGGTCAGGATCAGAGCAGGGACTGGCACCCAAGTGTTGAGTTCAGTCCTTTTTAAAAATGTTTAATAGGGCTGGAGAGATAGATAAGCAGTCTAAGTGCCTGTCTGGCCAGCACAAGGACCTGGGTTTGATCCCTGGTACTGTGTGCCATGCCAGGCTGGAGAAATAGCTCAGTAGAATAAGCGCTTGCCTGGCAAGTGCAAGGCCCTGAGTTCAATGCCCGGTCCTGAAGAAAAAAAAAAAAAAAAGGCTTCACTGTGTGCCATGCCAGCCTGTGCTGAGCTGCCTACCAAAACTGGGCCTAGTGGCACTCGCCTGTAATTCCAGCACTGGGGAGGCTGAGACAGGAGGATCACGACAAGTCTGAGCTGTGTAGTAAGATCCTGTACCAAATAAATTTTAAAAGACTGCTGTTCATAATGATTACACTCATTGTGGGAAGTTGGTACATGAATATATCTTAATTCTGTTTTAATGTGCATTTCTGATGGCCAATAATTTTTTTTTTTTTTTTTAACCAGGGATTGAACTCAGGCCCTTGCACTTGCCTGGCAAGCGCTTATTCTACTGAGCTAACTCCCCGACCCCTGGCCAATGTTGAACATAGTTTCATGTATTTATTGGCCATTTGTACCTCTTCTGAGAGGTGTCTGATACAATTGCTCCTTTTTTTGATTAAGTCTTTTATTTTGGGGAGTCTAATTTTTTAGTTCTTTATATATCAAGATATTAGTTCTCTGTCTGCAGGGTATCTGATAAATTAATTTTCCATTCTGTAGTTTGTCTCTTATTTCCTTTGTGATACAGAAGCTTTCTGCTTGCTGCTGGCTTTTGTGCAATTTTTTTTTTAAATGGAATTGGATTCAGGACCTTGAGTTTTCCAGGCAGGCGGAGTGCTGCTAAGCTATATCCCTGGCCTACAATTGGGAGTCTGTTCAGAAATTCCTTGTCTATGCCTACATCTTCAAGAGTTTTACCTATTTTAATATCTAGATATTTGATCCATTTTTATTTTTGCACAGTGCAAAGGTATAGATTCATTCTACACGTATGTAACCAGTTTTTCCAGTACCATTTGAAGATTACTTTTCCCCCCACTGTATATTTTTGCCCTTGTCCAACATCAGATAATTGAATGTGCCCAAAGTTGTTTGCATCCTCTATTCTGTTCCCTTGATGTGCTGCTGGTGCTTGTCCAGTGCCGTGTTATCACCCTACAGTTATATTACCCTGTAATGTAACTTGAAATCCACGATTGTGATGTCTCCAACCTTGCTCTTGCTCAAGATTGCTTCTGGGTCTCTTCTGGTTCCGTATCCAATCCAGTTCTGTGAGAAATGCTGTTGGTGTTTTGATTGGGGTTGCATTACATCTATAAATCACTTCTGCTCCTATGGCCATTTTAACAATATTGGTTCTGCCTATCTAGGAACAGAGGGATATCTTTCCATTTCCTGATACTCTTTGAACTCCTTTTTCAGAGTAATACAGTTTTCACTATAGGAGTCTTTCACCTCCTTGGTTAGATTAATTCTTAGGTATGTAATTTTTCTTAAAGCTATCTGGAATGGTATCATTTTTCTGACTTTTTTCTTGGTGAGTTCATTATTGGTATACAGGAATGCTATTGATTTTTTTGTGTTGATGTTATATAATATTACACGCTGAGTTATTAGATCTATCTTTGGTACAGGGTCTCACTATGAAGCTCAGACTCATAGTGATCCTCCTGTTTTCAGCCTCCAAAAGACTGGGATTACAGGTGTGCCCCACCATGCCCTGTCTTGGTTGCCGGCTCAGTGCGGGGTAGGGGGGGTGCACAGCATGTAACACCAGGATCAAACCCCACTCTGTGCTTAAGCAGGCACTTAGTCTGCTGACCTATCTCATATCTCACTGGGCCAAGTTTTTTTTAAAAGCCTGAAAAAATGCTTACAGATCAAACTGAAAAACATTTGTATTGGCCTGGGAAATGGCTCAGTAGAATAAGCACTTGACTGGCAATCGCAAGGATCTGAGTTCAATCCCCGGTTCTGCAGAAAACAAAAACAAAAACAAAACAAAACAAAAACATTTGGATTAGGTTTGGTACATATTTATAATTTCAGGGAGGTTAAGGTAGAAGGATCACAAGTTAAAGCCAAGTCTGGCTAATTCAGCAGCTTAGCAAGACCCTATTTCAACTAGGGTCCTAGTTCAGTGTGAAGCCCCAGAATTCAATAAATAAAAAATGTTGAGACATCATTGCTAAACCTGTGTATATGCACAAATACACTGAGCGATGTCATAGTTTACTGCTTCACTACTGTAAAATAAGCAGAGCAGTATGGTGTCAGACAAAATAAAACTCAAGGTTCATTTCCACGAAGAACATTTTTCTTAAATAAAATTACTCATGGAGCCCAAAGACCTGAGCATTCTCTGCTGGCTGTGTGCAGGTGCCCAGAAAGCGAAAGGGACCACAGGGAGGCAGGCGCACCAGGCATGCGGAACCCACCCAGAGGAAATGAGGCTCAAGGGATGTGAACCACCACGGCACAGCCAGGCAAAAGGAATCACAGACTCCTGGAGAAAACCTAACCCACCAAGACCCCTCTTCCCCAAGGCTCGGCCTCACTATCAGGGCGAACAACAACAGTAAGGAGTTGCCGACCAGTGTTGATCAGTATTGGAGTTAGCTAAGGTGCAGCAATAGAAGGCAAAAAAAAAAGCAAAACGAATGAACAAAATCAATATGAGTAGGGGGCCTGCCCCTTAGCTCAGTTCTTTGGGGCCGGGGAGATGGCTCAGTAGAATAAGCAAGCACAAGGGCCTGAGTTCAATTCCCGGTTCCACAAAAAAAAAAAAAATCAATATGAGGCTGTGGGAAAGGCCAGTCCTAGACCCATGACGCTTCCCCAGACCCAAGGGCCCAGCGGGAAGGACTGGCACACTTAGCTGAAGTGCTCTCACCGGTCAGGAGGGACACACCCTCAGTCGTCCCCGCAACCCCCGCGGTGCCCCAGGAACCACACAGGAGACAGAAGTGCAGATGGCCACGGCCGGCGTGATGCGCTCTAGGCAGGCAGCAGCCCGCGCGCGCGCAACTCCAGCAGCTGGGACAGCGTGTAGCGCAGGCGGCGGAAGGTGGCGTCCGAGCGGAGGCGTGCGAGTCCCTGGCGAACGGCGTCGGGCTTTACTAGCGCCAAGTAGAACAGCGGCACCACCAGGAAGCCGAGCGGACGCAGCACCAGGGTCTGCAGCAGGCCCAAAACCCACATCCTGCGAGCGCAGGGAAAGAGTTAAACGGGCAGCGGCAGGAGACGGAAACAGGAAAAGACCCGCAGCTCCCAGTCCGCGCCTGGCTCACCTGAGACGCCCCGAACCCGCGCCGCCGAACAATCGCTTCTCCTAGAGAAAAGGGACCCGCGCGTTCCATCCGTTCCGGGGCCGCCCGCCTAGGTCCCCCCGGAAGATGCGGGTCCCGGCTCCAGCCCGTCCGCCCCGACCCGCGCTCACGCAGTCCGCCCTGGCCACCTCCTCCATGAGTGAGCCCGCGCAGTCCTGCACCCGGAGAGCCCGCGAGTCCCACCTGCAGAAGCGGGCAACACGATCTGCCCCGGCCCTTAGCAGCCGCCCCGCCACACCAAGAGTCCTAACTCGCTTACGCTTCCGAGCCGCCCCGCCAGGCGTCCAGCGCGGCCGCCGCCTCCATCACCTTCCCCTGCAGCTCCTGGGGCGGGCGGGAGTGAGGACTCAGGGTGAGGGAGGCCTCCGGGAGCCAGCCGCCGCAGGTCTGGGGGTGGAGGGAAGGGGCCGCAGTGCCTTGGGGGTGACACGCTGTCAAGGTGGAGAGCGACCTCACCTGCAGGACTCCGCTCTGCTCCTGGAAGCTGGCCCAGGCCTCCTCAGTCCGCCGCGTGTCCTGGAGTACCGAAGCTTCGATCAGAATCCAGGGGACACGCCGCTCCCTAACCCCTGCAACGGTCCCGGCTCCCCTCACACTGAAGCCGCCCCTCCCCAAGATCCCGCCTCCACTCGCACCTGCCGCAGGCCCTCCGCCTGCAGGGCGTGCTTGGCCTCCACCAGCTCCAGCTGTTTCTTCTCGAGGAGCCAAGGAAAGTCAGGAACCCGCACGTCCAGTCCCTCAGAGCCCGGCCCGGGCCGGCCCTTAGGGGTCGTGGCCCCGCCCACCCTTCAGGCCCCGCCCAAGCACCTGCAGCTCCGCCACGTGGGTCCCCGCTTGCTGCTCCGCGCGCTGCTGACTCAGCTGTTCCCCGCCGTAGTAAAAGAGCTGAGGGAGGGTCGTGTGAGGGCGGGGCTTACTAGGTTCTTAGGGAGGGGCTTGGGGAACGGGACCAGAGCGGGTCTTCCGAGAGGAACTCATAGAGAGGCTGTCCCATCCCTCGCGGTACCTGACTTGACAGCTCCTCCCACTGTTCCTGCAGCTGCCTGTTGTGTTGCTCCTGCGGACAGGAGAGAGGGGGCGGAGCTCTTGGCCCCGCTTCACAAGGCGGCTCCCTCTCCGGGCCCGCCCCCCGGCCCGGCCTCACCAGGGCCCCGCCCTCCCCCAGTAAGGCCCCGCCCTCCCGCGTCCAGCTCCGTCCAGCTCAGCACCAGCTCCACTTTGCGGCGTTCCGCAGCCTCCAGCAGTTTCTGCACTCGCTCCGCGCGCTCCTGCACTGCCTCGTGCGCCTCGCCGCGTAGGGCTGGGGCCGCCTGGCTTCGTCTCCGCTGCAGGCTGCGAAGGGAAACTGAGGCCAGTTCTACGGCGAGGAGGTGGGGCGCTCTGGATCCTACGGCCCTGTCACCCCGGAAAGGACCAGTGCAGGCCGGGGTTGGAGCCGGGGAACTCTCCCGGGACGTGCCTGGCGCCGCCCTCCCTTCCCGGACCGTCTGAGTGGATCGTCCGGGTCCAACGGCCTGGGTCGGACATGCGGGCTGGGCGGGTTGGCCGCCGCCCGAGAGCCCGACCGCTCCGCCGAGCGGCTCTCCACGCTCACCTGCGCTCCCGCTCACGCAGTTCGTGCAGGCGCCCAGCGAGGCTCTCGCTCTCGGCTTCCAACCCGCGGACCAGCTCCTCCAGCTCCTGCTTCCGCAGGCGGCCGTCACGGTTGTCCTTCTGCAGCTGCAACCGCTGCTCCTGCGCCTCGGCCATGGCTCCGGCGCTGTGCCCAGACTGGCACAGGGGAGGGAACCGAATTCCTGAGGGCGTCACAATGGGGCGGCAGGGGGCACCCTCAGACACGAGTCGGGCCGCAGGGTCTCCTTTAGTTCACCGTCCATAAAAATTCTATCGGGGACTGAGGCAGGAGGGTCGCAAATTCGAGCCCAGCCTGCAACTTTTAAGTTTTTTCTTTTTTTCCCCCAGCCTGCAACTTAGTGAGACTGCTTCAAAATAAAAGGACTGAGAATGTAACTGAATGCGAAGGACTCAAGTGGGGGGGAACCAGAAAGCATTGTTATCAAACATTTCACCACTTGGGCAAAATCTCTGCTTACTTTTTGTGTAAATATCTTTCCTAAAAAAAAGAAAAGAAATACCTTTTCTAGCTCAGCGACTCCATTTTTTTGGTCTCAGCATCCTTTCATACTTTGAAAAGTTACTGATCCCAAAAAGCTTTTAAGTAGATAATACACCAAACAAGGGTTGGGGAGATGGCTCGGTGGTCTAAGCGCCCGCCTGGCAAGCCCAAGGACCTGGGTTTGATCGCCGGTACCACATGCAGTGCCTGCCCCGAAACTCAGCATGGTGGCCCACACCTGTAATCCCAGCATTGGGGAAGCTGAGACAGGAGGATCACTATGAGTCTGAGCTGTGTAGTGAGATCCTCCACCAAATAAAATGGGGTTTTTTTAAACTTAAAAAGAATATATGCAATAGTCACCAAATTAAAACTAAACAATGTTTAAAATGCATATTAAAAATATGTGTTGGTTCCTGGTTGGTGCTTCCTGGTCGCAGCGATGTCAGTGAAATTGAGCTGACTTTCCATGATGTTCGGTGGCTATATAGAAGCATATGAAGATGATCTTTATCGTGAAGAATCATCCAGTGAACTGAGTGTTGATAGTGAGGAAGAATTTCAACTCTACAGCCAAGTTCATTATGCCCAAGATCTTGGTAATGCTACCAGGGAGGAAGCACATGAAGAAAAGAACTCTGAGAATTCTGAGTTGAGTACTAAATCACATCAGAACTTAATTGTTCTTTCAGATAGTGAGGTCATCCAACTATCAGATGGGTCAGATGTCATCACTTTGTCTGACGAAGATAGTATTTATAGATGTAAAAGAAAGAATATTAGAGTCCAAGCACAGAAGAACACCAGAGACCCTTCTGATTCTTATTCTGATGAGTTGGCTGATAAATGCAAATGAGAAATCAAGAAGCCTGAACCTGAAGAAAGATCAGGTGCGATCCAAGAGGTCATGATTATAGAGGTCAGTTCAATGAAGAGGAAGAAAGCATCATTTCTGAAAGTGAAAATGTGGAAAGCTGGATGCTACTGGGTTGTGAAGTAGATAAGAAAGATGATGATATCCTTCTCAACCTTGTGGGATGTGAAAATTCTTACTGAAGGAGAGGATGATGTAAACTGGTTCATCAGTGACAAAGATGTTGAGGCCCAGATAGGTAATAACAGATCATCTGGACGATGGACCCATCGATACTATTCAGCCAACAAAAACGTTACCTGTAGAAATTGTGATAAGTGTGGTCACTTGTCAAAAAATTGCCTCTTGCCACAAAAAGTTCGTGCCTGCTGCCTCTGCTCAGAGAGAGGACACCTCCAGTATGCTTGTCCAGCACGCTTTTGCTTAGACTGTTCTTTGCCAATGTCTTCCACGCACAGATGTCTTGAAAGATCTTCCTGGAGAAAACGATGTGACCGATGTGATATGATAGGCCACTATGCTGATGCTTGCCCAGAAATCTGGAGGCAGTATCACCTAACGACCAAACCTGGCCCACCCAAAAAGCCAAAGACTCCTTCTGGACAGTCAGCCTTGGTGTATTGCTACAACTGTGCACAAAAAGGCCATTATGGACATGAATGTCCAGAAAGGCGAATGTTTAACCAGACATTTCCAACATCTCCGTTCATCTACTACTATGATGACAAATATGAAATTCGGGAGCAAGATCGGAGAATAAAACGAAAAGTAAAAGAACTCCAGAAAAATGGGGATTTCCCAAGGCAGTTCAAGAGACCACATATGGAAGCAGCAGATAAGAGACCCCTCCGTGACATGAGGAAGAGCCATGCCTCCCAGGAAAGCAACAGGTGGCATCCAGAAGATAAAGGTCAGAGAGAAATGATAAGCCGAAATAGAGACCCAGAGAAGCATAGGAAGGTTGACAGACGTTGGGAAGTGAATGAGGACTTTCCTAGGGGCACTCACTCTTCTCCCAGCAGCTTTAAAGCCCAGAAGCCCCACAAGCCCCTTCATCACTGATCACATCACCACAAGCCAAGAGAAGATAAGTTTCCCAGAGATAGCAAGCGGAACAAGCAGAAGAAAAAGGAGAGATATGTGGAAGATGATGCCACTGATAACATTTCTTATTAAGCAGAGGAAAAAATCTAAGCTGTGATACAGCTTCTGAGTCAGCTTCATGTCTACAACATTCTAGCAATATTTTTATTACCTGTAATTAAATAAAAGGAAGTTTTTGTTTTTACTGTTAATTTCAGCCATAATTAAAGTTGCTGAACAAAGGTCATAGAGATCTCAGTTCTCTGTATCTACCAGGTTTGTAGGTAGAAAATAGATAAACTTGGACCTTCCATTGGAATATCCTTTTTATTCAAAATCTTTGGGATAGAAAAAAAAAAGACTTTTCAAAAAAACTTTTAAAAATTACTTGAAAGAATTAAAATTCATAAATGCAGTACATCAACATGGGATGAAAAATCTTTGTAGGAGGAGAAATTATTACTAATAAGAATTCATCTCTCAGCATTACCTTTAACATGGGAAAGAACAATGGCTATAAATCTGAATCCAGCTTTTCTTGCTTCTAAAACTTGTCTGATTCTTTCAAGTAAATATCACAGGTTGACTACAAAATGAAGATATTACTAAAACTCTGGGGAAACAGGGAACAGGGCTATTAACAGAGTACAAAAAGGAAATCTGTCCAGTATAAATGTAAAAGACAGATTTCCTGAAATCTATCAAAATGTATGTATCACATTGAAAGACTTTGTTCCATTTTTATAGCCACCTTTCAAGAAGACCATCATTCATGTATATATAGAGATAAATACTACCCAACTTTTAAAAATTTTGTTTTCATGAATTTTTAAAACTACCATATAGAGATAATTTGTTTTGTGAACTTTGTACTTCTCAAAGCCTAATCTTAGAATAAGAAAGATAAAATGTCTGAAGCAATGACTAAATTTGTCTGTACATAAAGTAAATATATATATATATATATATATATATGTATTAAGGGGCCAGGGAGACAGTTCAGTAGAATAAGTGCTTACCTGGCAAGCACAAGGGTCTGAATTCATATGTACATAATATGGTAAAATTATTTACATGTAAATATATCTGTTTTCAAAAACTAAAATAAAACTTTTAAATCTATAAATTTAATGTCTGGCTTAACACAAGTCAGCTATTTCCTCTTGAATCTGTGTCTGCATTCTGTCTTGCAATCCCTTGTTTTAAGATGTATGAAGAAAATCTGGCCTCAAAAGGTAGTTTCTTGGAGGCACAGAGGAACCATTTATAAAGAACAAATTCAAAGACAAAAAAAAAAAAAAAAAGGCGAATGCATGAAGGTGCAAGTTTGGCATTGGAATGGCAGTTGGTAAGCTGATTGATTTTGAGTAAAAGGGCAGGCAGGAGCTAAGTCATTTGAGGGATGGGATATTGAAAGAGTAGGGTTGGCTGATGTGCTGGTGTGCACATGTAATCCCAAAACAAAAGGGATGATTTTACCTGTTAGGAATCTCAGCTCAGGGAACATAGACAGGCCACTGATGGCTTACCGTACATTTTTTAAAAAAACTTTACACTTAATCCTGAGACAGATGGGCATGCAGAGGCTGTGTCAGGTGTGGCCACTGAGTGAGGAGCCCATTGTGTGACAGGTGCCAGCAGAGTGCAGCCAGCTAGAGTCCCACCCTGGGGGCAAGAAGCCCACACCACACCATGACTCCACTCAGGAAGACCAGATTTCCTTCCTGATTTGATAACTTTCTCTTGGGCCAGGTTTGTCCCTTCTAGTGTCCCTGTCTTCACCTGAAAGGAACTGAGTCAGCATAAAAATTCACAGTATTCTTGAATAATTCAAAATAGAAAGTCTAAAGAGCATTTCCCTTAATTGGTAAGATCTCTAATTTTTCTTCCCAGTATGCCTAATTTGAGAGGTCAAGCCCTTACAGCTTAAGGTTATTTTAGAGGATCATGTAACAAACCTTTTCCTCTAGAGTTTTCTGTCCCTTCACTCCACAGGTCAGCCCAGACTCAGCCTCTCTCCATCCTGGGCACTCGGCAGAACAGATTCTTTCACATGCATTCCCCCTCCATTTCTTCCCTCAATGGAAGGTTTTTGTTTTTGTTTTGTCATACCAGGGACTGAACTTGTGGCCTTGTGTTTGCCAGGCAGGCGCTTATGCTGCTGAGCTATACCCCCAGCCCTGAGGAGACTGTTTTAACATTATCATCATTGTAATTCAGTACAGAATGATTCTTGCTTTTCCAAAGTGAAAACACCTCTACTTTCATTGCTGGTCAAAGAAAAAAAATTATGATATGTTACTGAATATTTCTGTCCTTAAAAAATTGGTGTGAGGGGCCGGGGAGATGGCTCAGTGGAATAAGCGCTTCCCTGGCAAGTGCAAGGGCCTGAGTTCAATCCCCGGTTCCACCAAATAAAAATAAATAATAATAATAATAAATTGGTGTGTTGGGCTGGTGAAATGGCTCAGTGGTCTAAAGCACCTACTTAAAACAAGCTTAGCTAAAGCACAGGGACCACCGACCGTGGTTCAATCCCCCAGCACCACATGCTAGCCAGCCCCGCCCCTCGTGGGCTGAGCTGGCCACACACACACATAAAAGAACAAGCTCAGCAAAGCACAGCCACCGCGGTTCAATCCCCCAACACCACAAGCCAACCAGCCCCACCTCCTGGTGGGCTGAGCTGGCCACACACACACACACACACACACACACACACATATAAATAATAAATAAAAATTGTTTTAAAAATTGGTATGTTGAAGCCCTAATCTCTAATGTAACTGCATTTGGAGATAAGGCCTTAAAGGAAATAAGATTTAAATGTAATAAAAGTGAAACTGTTATCCTGTAGAATTGGTGTTCTTATAT